AGAGTGTGAGACTGGACAGAACATGGGTTTTCAGAGAGTACCAGGGTAGTGCTGTAGGGTAAGCAATGTACTGCCAACCACAAAGTTGGCAATTCAAACCCACCAGCTGCTCCACAGAAAAAAATGAGACTTTTCCCATAAAGATTGTTGTTGTTGTTGTTGTTGTTAAGTGCTGTCAAGTCGATTCAGACCCATAGCGACCCTGCATAGGGTTTCCAAGGAGCAGCTGGTGAGCTTAAACCACCAACCTTGCAGTTCAAATGGATTTGCAGTCTGGCGCATTAACCCACAGAGCCACATAAAGATTATAACCTTGGAAACCCTATTCAGGGTCATTATGAGTCAGAACCAACTCCACAGCACCTAATAACATAACAGAGCTATTGCAGTCTAACATCCTGAAAGACCTCAGATAAATCGCTAAACCTGTGTGAGGCCAGGTTTTCATATTTGTGAAGTGAGATGAATAATACCAACTCCTTCCTACTGACGAGGAAAGGTTTGTAAATTGCCTAGCACCTGGTAAGTGTTGCCAGTCCCCTAGGTTGCTCAGGTGTTTCATAATGGGCCACACTGCAGGCTCGGGCAGAGTTTCCTTCTGTTGTGCATAGTCATGAGTCAGAACTGACTGGACTGCAGCTCAAAACAACAACAGGCCACAGACTCACATTTGAGAGAGCAATGGGTGTCACTGAAGGTCCCTAAGATTCCAAGATTCTCCAGTCACCAAGGCCTAGAAGCCAGCCAGCTGTTCTGCAGGAGAAATATGAGGCTTTCTACTCCCATAAAGATTTACAGCATTGGGTTGCTATGAGTTGGAACCGACTCCACGGCACACCACCAACCAACCAACCAACGAACCAACCAGAAGCCAGCCAAGCAGCCTTGGTGGCACAACAGTTAAGCATTTGATTACAGAGCAAAAGGTTAGCAGTTCAAACCAGCCAGCAACTCATTGGAAGGAAAAATCTGGTTATCTGCTCTCATCAAGATTTACAGCCTAGAAAACCCTACAGGGCACTTCTCTGTCCTATGGGATCCCTATGGGTCAGAAGGGAGTCCTGGTGCGGTGCTGGGGGTTAATTCACTGGACTGCAAAGTCAGTCAGAACCACAAGGTCGGCGGTTCAAGCTCACCAGGGGCTCCTAGCAAATCCTATACAGGGTTGCTAGGGGTTGGAACAAACTCAATGGCACACAACAGAAACAATACAAGATACTAATCCTCCTCCAGTCTGTGGATATGAATTAGGCCCCATTGGTTGTAAGGGCAGAAACTCAATGTTGGCAAAGTGGAGTTTCTTATGGGAAGTTCAAAGAGAGCTAGTTCCAGGTTCTGCTGTATCTAAGGATTTAAACCACGTGCCTCACTCTCTCTTTCTCTCTCTCCCCATGTCTCCTCCCTTCCACCATCAATCCCAGTATTTCTACTCTTCTTAGTTCCTTCTTTGCTTCCTCCTGAAACCTCGCTTTCTTTAATATAACGGACAAGATGGCCACCAGCCATCTTGGATCATGTTCTCTCAACTTAGCAAGTTCTATAAGGAGAGACATGTTTCTATCTTGTCTATAGGGCAATCAAGGCAAAAGTCTTGAATTGATCCTGCTGACTGTCCCCACTCTTAAACCAATCATGGATACCATAGTGACAAGCCTTGTGCCCACATTGGGAACCAGAGGCAGGTTGGTGGGCTTGAACCTTGTGGCAGACAGTCCTAGTGAGAGACCACATCAAGTGGGGCAGGGAGATCACCCAGAGGAAATAGAGAGACCAGGCAGATGAATACAAGGGGGCTTCAAAAAGTTTGTGGAAAGTGCAATTTAAAGATAGTGGAATTGTTCCACAAACTTTTTGAAGCATCCTCATACAACACATCCATGGTACCCTATGTGGTTTTCAGTTCACACTCACTTAGACCAGCCCTAAGGAGAGGCAACACGGGACACATCACTGAAAGAATCTCCACGAGGAAAGGCAGAGAACTGAGACAACACCAGTGTGTTCAAGGCACTACGAGCTGCTTAATGTCATTGACCTCACATTTAAGCTCTCTTAATAGGGATGCATTTGTTTTTATGGTTTCCTTTTATTTATACAAGTAAGTGATCCTGGGTTCCTATTTTTAGTGCTCATAAAAGGTTTCCTCTGTAAAACAACTTCATTTTAAGCAAAACACAGTAGGTCAGTTGAAAGAAAACTAAAGCCCCCAAAGAACCCATTGCTACCAAGTAGATTTTGAACTGCCCTAAGGAGCTCTGGTAGCGTAGTGGTTACGAGTCGGGCTGCGAACCTTAAGGTCAGCAGTTCGAAACTACCAGCCGCTCCGCGGGAGAAAGATGAGGCTTTCTACTCCCGTAAAGATTTACACCCTCGGAAACCCTGTACAGGGTCGCTATGGGTTGAAACCGACTCGACGGCACTTAACAACAACAAAGGAGCTCTGGTAGCATAGTGGTTATGAATTGGGCTGTGAACCACGAGGTCAGCAGTTCGAAACTACCAGCTGTTCCGTGGGAGAAAGATGAGGCTTTCTGCTCCCATAAAGGTTTACAGTCTCAGAAACTCCGTCCAGGGTCGCTATGAGTCGGAACCTACTCCAGGGCACATAATCACCACCACCACATATGGTTTCCAAGGCTGTAATCCTTATGGAAGCAGACTGCCACATCGTTCTCCTGAGGAGCAGCTGGTGGGTTTGAACCTCTAACCATTTGTTTAGCAGTCAAGTTCTTTAACCACTGTGCCATCAGGATTCCTCGAAAAAGAAATAATAAGTGAATAATAATAATGTAGAAGGCTGTGTGCCATGGAATCAGTTCCGACTGGTAGCGATCCTGGATAGGGTTTCTGAGACAGTAGATTTTTAGTGCAGCAGAAAGCGTTGTCGTTCCTTGGCAAAGCATCTGGTGGATTTCTGCTGACCTTGCATTATAATGCCACCAGCACTCCTTTAGATTGTTGTTGCTCTTAAATGCTGCCGAGTTGGTGCCGACCCATAGCGACCTGTATAGGGTTTCTGAGGCGTGGCTGGTGAGTTTGAACCACTGACCTTGTGGTTCAAACAGACTTTGCAATCCAATACATTAATTTGCAGTACCACCCTAGAACATAGATGCTGTTGTTGTTGTTAAGTGCAATTGATTTGGTTACGACTCATAGTGACCCTGTATAGGGTTTTCCGAGGAGCAGCTGGTGGGTTTGAACCACCGACCTTGCGGCTCAAACTGACCTTGTGGTCCAGCGCATTATGCTGCTGTGTCACACCAGGACTCCGAGACAGCTGTGGACTAATTAGTTGCTGAAGTATGGGAATGATTGAAGTCTGGGAAACATTCGCTTAGTAAATATCAGGAATTTTCCATCCCCACGGAGACCTGGTGTGACACAGTAGGATAAGCACTGGACTGCTTAGCCACAAGCTTGGCCGTTCATATCCACCAGCTACTCCTCAGAAATGCTATGAGTCAGAACCAACTTGACAGCACTTAACAATATTAATAACAAGGAGCAAAAATCCAAACACTGTGTTCTTGTTGGTCTAAGTGATAATTAAATATTTGTTGTATTAAAAGAAATAGTCTTTGTTTATCTCTGACAACTAAATATTGTTTTTGGAATTGTGTGGAGGGAGAATCTTTAGCCCAAATCAATCCATGCTAAGATCCTAGAACACTCAGCTTCTGGCTGATGAGATCGATTCCTTAGATATATTTGTATCTGACTAGCACTTCAAGATACTGGTACTCTCTGTTTCAGAGAGAGACACAGAAACTGGGGTTGATATGAAAATTGCTTGTCCTTGAGAACAGAAGGGACATCCTAGACCGGCCAGTTCCAATGAATACGAGCCATCTAGAGGGTCAGAATTCCCCCAAATGATTTCTACCCGTTTCCACATGTTAAGTATCAGCTGGTCCCAGGTTTGGACGACTGCTTGACTCCCAGCTAGCCAACTCCAGCCAGAAATACTTTCTGAAAATTAGCCAGTGAAAACCTTATGGATCTCAACATAATACTGCCCAGTGCACTTGCTTTGGACACATCATCAGAAGGAATTCATTGCTTGTTGTTGTTGTTGTTGTTAGGTACCATCGAGTCAGTACTGACTGGTAGTGACCCATGCACAAGAGAACAAAACACTGCCCGGTTCTGCACCAACCTCACAGTCCCTGCTACACTTGAACCCGTTGCTGCTGCCAAGGTGCCAATCCATCTCACAGGGGGGTCTTCCTCTTTTTTTGCTGACCCTATACTTTACCAGACTGCAAAGCCATTTGAACTGCAAGGTTGGTGGTTCATGCTCATCAGTCGCTCCTCGGAAACCCTATACAGGGTCGTTATGGGTCGGAACCAACTCGATGGTACTTAACAACAACAACACTTTACCAAACATGATGCTCTTCTCCAGGGACTGGTCCCTCCTGATATGTCCCAAGTATGAGAGATGATGTCTGGCCATTCTGGCTGTACTTCTTCCAGTACTGATTTGTTTGTTCTATGGTACTCCATGATACTTTTACTAGTTTCCTCCAACATCATAACTCAAATGCACCAACTCTTCTACAGTCTTCTCTATTCTGTCCAACTATCACATGTATATAAGGTTACTAAAGATACCAAGGCTTGGGTCAGGCACACCTTAGTCTTTAAACTGACATCTTTGCTCTTAAACACTTTAAAGAGGTTTTGTGCAGCAGATTTGCCTAATGTAATGTAATATGTCGTTTGATTTCTTGACTGCTGTTACTACGCGTGTTGATGGTTGACTACAAGGGAAAGACACTGTGTTTGATGAAGCAGAGGGCCACTGAGGGTGTGGGGGACCCTTGGTAAGGTGGACTGGCACAAGACCCAACAATGGATTCAAACAGGTTGAACATTGTAAGGCTGGTTCAGGATTGGGCAGCATTTTGTTCTGTGATACACCAGGTCACCAGTCAAAACAGATTTCACAGCAGCAACAAAGATTGTCCACTCACCTATTCACTTCTTTTCTCCAGGCCAAAACTAAAAGTCATCAGGGCTTTGATGTGGACCGAGATGCCAAAAAGCTGAACAAAGCCTGCAAAGGAATGGGTATGAAAGATATTTGTTTACTAATATACTTTTTAAAATGTTTTATTGTCAATTATGTGATAGTTTACATGGGAGAACATTAGTTTTACATTCATTCTATCGTATATCGTTCATTGCTATGGTTACAATCCCCTCCAGGCATCATCAACCAACCAAAGGGTGTACACCACAAGCCTGTCCCCCCACCCCCACCACCAGGTCATCAGCATACAGGCCCTTTCCCTCTCTGTGTCTAAAGTCCCCAACTGCTCCATCTCTCCACGTCATCGTCTCTGCCTCCATCTCAGGCATCACTGCTTCTCTGGGTAGGGTCCCGCTCTCCGCTCTTCTTCCTTGATGGTCCTAGGAACCTCTGCTCCTAGACTGAGAGTTAATCACTCCCCTCCTTGCTACAAAATGTCTACCTTTACATTTCCAACCCTCACAAGCAGTCCTGATAACAATTATTCAGTATTGCCTCAAAAGAGACCCATCTGCATTTCACTTCATCAGCCCCACCTAGACAGATTGGCTACTACTCAGTGGAGAGTCTACCTTCCTTCATGCCCTCTGGATCTAGGTTCCCTCTTGAAAGTTTGTAAGCCAGTCACTTCTTACCTTTGTAGACCCCCCCCATTTTGGGTAGCCAATGTCCAAGTTGCCCATCCCTGTCTACTCTGTGTATGAAGGGGTGGGAATGATCCTTGCTGTAATGATTTGTTCCCTCTTTTGAGCTACTGCACCCATAGTTGTAGTTCAATTACCAATATACTTTTGAAATGAATAACATCAGCTTGATCTCATATCCAGCTTTCTTATGATTTTTAGGGATATAATCTCCTACTTGTTTTGTCTATACCAAGCTAATCCTAAAGCTCTATACACTAATTTCAAAGGATCTCTTTATAAAAGGTTTCCAAGTTAAGGGGTATGGTAAGGTGTTATTGCTAAATGGATACAGATTTTCTGTGTGGGGTAATGAAAAAGTGTTTTGGAGGCAAATAGTGGTGATGGTTGAAAAAAAGAAAGAAGAAAGAGTTAAACAAAGAGACAATATACAGGGAGAAAACGTCTTAGAATTAGCAATGCTTCGAAATGCCATAGGGATCTAATCCCATCACTCTCTAAAATGCCATACTTGAATGGAGGTTTATTTACAGTCAGGTGCTCCCAGCCACTTAGTGTGGTTTCCCAGGGTCAAACATTGGCAGCCCATCCACCAAACTAATTCAACCTACTGCCATTGAGTTGATTCCAACTCATAGCAGCCCCATCTAGGATTTCCGAGGCTGTAAATCTTTACAGGAGCATAAAGCTTCATCTTTCTCCTGAGGAGAGACTGGTGGGTTTGAACTGCCGACCTTGTGGTTAGTAGTCCAGTGCTGCTCCTACAGTACCACCAGGACTTCTATCCCACCCACAAATACAATGAGTTAAACCACTGATGTCACTTAGATGTTAGATGAGAGAGACAGTACTGGGGAAAAGAGCTTCTGGGGCCATCATGTAGGTTTCACACATCTGACACTGCCCAGATGAGACCTCTAACTCTCTCACCTTTTCTGACACTGTCCAGGTGAGAGGAAGAAGGGAGGGGAGGTTGTCTGGAAGAATGAGGTAGTGGCAGTATGGTATGCAGGGAAACCTGATAAGCTTATCTTTCACCCCAAACTGCTGGCATCCTCAGTAACTTGTGTATTTTGTCTACTTGTATCATCTGGAACATTACCTTAACTTTGAAACTGATTCTTTACCACAAAGTTATAGAATAAGTCACATCTTCTTTTATAAACTCTGGTATATGACACTTAGATTAGTAGAGGAAAAAGACTTTAAACACAAACATTTTATTGTGAAGTGAATGACAGTTTACAGAGTAGATTCAGCAAATCATACACTTCATTTTATCTCAATGATTGCGATCTCTTCAATGTAGCCTCACTTATCCCATTTCCTCCCTGTGTTCCTTGTTTCTAGATGTTCTAGCCCAACCCTTTTGAGTTTTGTGCTTGGGGAGATGCTGCACTTTTTTTTGATCATTAGTTTTACATTCAACAAATCCTACACCTTGTTTCATTACAATGATTATAATCCCCTCTATGTACCATCAGTTAACAGTATTTCTCTCTAGTAATTTTAGCTTTTTTTTTTTTTTAGCAAACAAACATTTTAAATACTCAAGCATATATAATAATTTACACCACCAAAGGGCACATTCTGCAAGTCTGCCTCCTGGCTAACAGCTCTCAGTCCCTCTCTTCCCATGAATCTAGAGTCCTTAGCTGCTCCCTCTCTCCACGTCCCCATCTCTGTCTCCATCTCTGGTGTTGCTGCTTCTCTGGATAATTTCCCGCATTCCATTAGTGCTCTTCTCCCTTGATGGTCCTAGGGTCCTCTGTTTCTGTACTGTAAGAGTAACCACTCCCCCATTTTTGTTACAAAACTTCTACCTTTACAATTGTGACAGTCGCAATTAGTCATGATAACAATTACTCACTATTGAATCATATGAATCTTATCCCCATCGCTTTTCACCAGACCCATATAGACAAGATGAAAACTATTCAGTGGGGACTCTTTCTTCCCCCCTCCCCCGCCCCCACACTCTTAAACCAAACTCCCTCTTGAAACCTTGTAAGCCAGTCACTTCATGCCTTTATCGCCACCTCATTTTAGGCAGTGAATGTCTAAGTTGCCCGTCCCTGTCTACTCTGGGTACAGAGGGGATAGCATTGATATTTGATGTGAAGACTCCTTCCCTCTCTGTTGGTATTTAGAGTTACTACCTCCATGAGTATAGGTCAAGTTCATCAGATTATAACAATTTACCCTCATTTCCTGTATCAAAATTGTTTTGTTCTCTCTCTCTTTTCTTTTTTTAATCTTCCTCTAGTCAAGTTCTGATTATCAAGTCATCGAGGCTAAGTCAAATGGGTACTATCTGAAACTTTGGGTGTTCTTGTGCGCCTCCCCTCACTTCATATCAGCTGGATGCTTCACTCTCAGCTCTAGTCCTCTGTGGCTATGTCCTTGTCCATGGCTAAATGCTGTACCTTTCTTTGATCTTGAGTGGTTGACCATTCTATGGTGCATATACCTCACTAGTGTTGTTGTCTCCACCCCCTATATACCTATCTATTGCTTGGCTGAAAATTGAATCATGAAATGAGTTAATTTCCAAACCTGAGGGATGACCAAGGGTCATAGTTCTGGGGATCTACCAGTCTCTAGCTGACCATTATGCCTGGTCTTTTTTTTTATGATTTTGCATTTTGTTCCCTAATATCTCCCAGATCTAGTACCTCCTAATGGATCCCTTTCAGAGCAGTTGGTAGTGGGTCATCAACTACCATCTAAGTTCTCCCTGACTCAGGATCATGAAGACTGATATTCACGTGGTCCATTAGTCCAGTGGACTAAATGTTTCCAGGCATCTTCAATTTTCATTACTCTTCTAGACAGAGAGAGACCAATAGTTGGCCCTTAGATGGTCGCTCATGAGTTTTTAACATCCCAGTTGTTACTGACAACAGTAGGATGTAGACTATTGTCTTCGTAGACTATGTTACACCAATTGACCATGGTGTCTCCCAAGACTATGGTCCCTAGGCCAAGCAAATCATTCCTTCAAGGAGTTTGGTAATATCTAAGAAGTTTTCATAAGTTGGCCCTCTATGTGCTCCACCACGTTCATGGATGTGTTTACAGCATAGGTAAATACCCAGGTACAAACCTCCTCTGTCAAGCCTTTATATATCTGTGAATATATATCCACTGTCCCTTCCTCAACATTCAGCCTGTGTATCCGTCCAGGTAGGCTTTTGATAACATTTTTCAAAGAAACATTTTGAAAATAACTTTTCATGCACTATTAGAAGGAGGAAAATAGAATATTTTGAGAGTCCTGGGGTGGTGTGAAGCCCTAGTAATGCAGTTTGTTAAGCACTGGGCTGTTAACCAAAACATAAGCAGTAGGAACCCACTGGCTGCTCTGCAGAAGAAAGATGAGACAGTCTGCTTCCGTCGATTTACAGCCTGGAAAACCTTAGGGTGCAGTTCTACGCTACAGGCTCACTGTAAGTCTGAATTCCCTCCACAGTAGTGCATTCGATTTGGCTTTTAGTGGGTGGTGTAAATGGTTAGCACCCATTCCTCTGCTAACCCAAAGGGGGAGGTCCAAGTCTACCCAACAGCATCTTGGAAGAAAGCTTTGATGATCTGCTTCCAAAAGCCTTGAAAATACCTATGGATCACAGTTCAAATCTGACACACATGGGGTAGCCATGAGTGTGATTCAATCGACCCCATTAGTTACCTCATTCATCTGCCCTGTACCCCCACTCACACAGGAGAAATAGGAAGTGCAAAGCCCAGTGGTACTAGAGGAAAAGACTGACGCTCAGGGACCCACACTGGGAGGCAAGCCTGAGCTCTCCTGTTCTACAGAGGCTGCTTGTGGCTGGGTTTGAAACCCAGGGGTCGTGGGGGGTGGGGGGGGAGGCTGAGTTTTCTTCCACCTTCTTGATGTTATTGTTGTTGTGATCTGGAGTCATAACAAGCCCCATGTGACAGCGTAGAACTGCCTTGTAGGGTTTTCTAGGTCAGAGTCCTGATGTGACGCACTGGTCTGCTAATCTCAAGGTCAGTTCAAACCCACCCACAGCTTCTTGGAAACCGTAAACAGGGTCCCTATGTTGGCACTTAACAACAGTAACAAGTTTTACAGAAGTAGATTGGCAGGTCTTTCTCCCTGAGAACTACCAACCTTATAGTTAGCAGTCTAGTGCTTAACTCATTGTTCCACCGCAGTTCCCTCCTCTTGCTGTTAGGACCCTGTATCCAATGAAGGAGCCCAGGAGGCCTTCCGGCCAATGGCCTCCATCTGTGAAAATATGACTCGGTGTCTTTTCAGGAAAGGCCCCCTGGTGGCATAGTGATTAAGCATATGGCTGCTAACTGACAGGATGGCTAGGGACTCCACCAGCCACGCTTGGGGAAAAGATATGGTAGCTTGCTTCCAT